TAATTTATTTTTCCGAAGAACCCAGGGAACAGAATGCCATAAAGCAAGGTTTCTTCGCCATCGTACAGTTCCCAATAGTCCTTGGTTTAATTGATGAAAGTCAAATTTCCATCAAGGCTCCATCTGCGGATGAGGAAGTTTACGTGAACAGAAAATTCTTTCATTCAATCAACGTTAAAGGCATCTGCAACTCTGATCTTATCTTCACAAATATTGTTGCCAAACGTCCAGGAAGCACACATGACAGCTTCATCTGGAATACACGTGATGTCAAAATGCGATTTGAGAATGGGGATTTTTGGGAACGGATATTTGCTTGGTGACAGTGGCTATGCTCTTCAAATGTGCTTCTAGACCCCCATAATGAAATATTCTCCCTCTTCTTCCGAGAGAAAGTATAAGAAAGCTCTCTAGCAGACAAGATGCATCATTGAATGTTTTTGGGGTTTGGAAGTTGAGATTGAGGTGTCTGCTCGAGTCATGCGGATCGTTGCAAGTGGCACCTGAAAATGGTGCAAAATGATTGTGACTAGTGCCACAATGATTTTGTCTACAACATGTGCAGAAGAGCTGGAGTTCCAGACCCTGACATCGAGTCGGAAGAAGCTACCGTCGCCGATGATGCTGACTTGGGAAGCTCATTTGACACACCTGCATCAAATAATGCCAAGACTTTTTGATACAATGTTGCGAGACGCTCGGAATAAAGTTTTCAAATTCTGTCGAGATTAAGGGTGGATTTTTGAACAGAGAACTATCCGATAATGCAGCTTTATTCCTGAGAAAATGCATTATAAATCCGGTAAACAAAGCAGCATTATCGGATAGTGCTCTGCTCAAAAATCCACCCTAAATATTTTTCTCAGACAAAATAATTAGGAACAGCCACAACATATTTTAAAGGGCTGTTTAAAATGGCCTATTAGGGTGATATTATATTCACAGATAACTGGATGCTATGAGTCCAATATTATGCGTTCCAGTTACGCTAATAAATATCCTCTAACCTCCTAATAGCAGCGTAACAGCGTCATAATATATAAGACTTCTAGTTACGGCCCCCAGGTCTCTTCCTTCGAGCCGGATCTGACGTCATCTCACATAGATAAGCCATCATATAAGGCAAACACCTAGAACCCCTGAAGAAACGTCAATAGAGCCCTATGCGGCACTCATACAATGGAGCAACGTGTTATGGAATAATTACAACCGCGATCGCACGGTATAGTAACCATCGTCATCATCTCCCAATAAAATCCACAACCGACGGACGTTTTCCGCGGCTTTTTCTTCATTGGGAATATTCCACAGTCCCAATTGCAATTTCGCCTTGAAGAGGGCAATATTGCAAAACCTTTTCTTCCTTCGTTTAACTTGATTTAGAAAGGACGTCTGAAAGAAAGTAGTTTAATATTGTTATTTTTAATTAATCATAAATGCGGTAAGTTTGAGCAAGTCCGACAAATTAATCGGAAGCGGATGAATTACCCATTGCCCTCCCACCCTTTTCGCGGGTGGGAGGGCAATTTCCACTGTTCAAAACGTCTGGAATCGTCAGAGACTTTTCAGGACTTTTTAAGGACATTTTAAAGACTTTTGGCGACCAGCATTGTCATCGTTACCGTTACCCGTTACCGGCAATTAGTTCTAATTGCCTGAATCATTCTCAAATGCAAAATTATTGGCGACTCCGGAGAGGATTTACAGGATGAAAAAATCCGGGGAAAAATCCAGGAAAAAATCCGGATATTGGATATCCAGATTTTTATCAATTTGTATAAATGTGTAGACATTTTACAATCTATTTCATTCAATAATCATTTCAGTAGGGAATAATTTTTGCCCATTTTAAAAATAAATTCTATTTGCATTTAAAAACATTTTAATAACATCTCTCAATATGCATATCAACCCCAATTTAAATAATTTTTTCTATGTCAATTAGATGAAATGTCTGAGGAGTGAATTTATTCGTGAAATATGCGTGAAATAAATAAGTCTGTTTTGTACGGGATAGGCTACAAAATAAAAATAATCCAAGTTAATCCGAAAATCGGAACGAGGAAGTCCGAACAAGATTGAATGAATCCCAAATAAATCCTTAAATTTTGAAGGAGGCTTATCAATTTATTTGAATAATAAAAAGATTTACGTCGGAATCAGTCGAATTTTTTTTTTTACGACAGAAAAGGCGAAATCCTCCAGAGATTTTCCATTTTTCACTTCCAGTTCACTTCCAGTTGGGAAATGAAATGCTCATGTCGATGATGAACGCAAGGAGGCAATTCTGCGGAGAAATTGGAGCTACATGAAATAACCTCATCGGATTCCCTTAACCTCGTCAGATTCCATTAATCTCATCGGATTTCATCGGGTCGTTGATGGAAACAAGATGAGCCTAGATGAACCAGACCATTTATGAAACCAGATTTTTTTTTTCTAACTCTCTGTGAGCTTCTCTGTTCTTGAGCTTCTTTCTAACACGGCGCATGCCTGCGCTCGAAGTCATCTGGATGAAAAGAAAAATTTCATGACAATTTTTCCTTTGAAATGATTCCAGTTCGCAAACGCAGAATGCCGAAAAATGGCACGAATGATCCGAGTATCATGATGTTTATATCCAGAGGACTTCGATTTCAAATTCACGTTCGACTGGATTCAATTGAAACTGGGAATTCCAAATCCGTTCCTCGAAGGCGGTTTCCGCGCCTCAGACCACCGAGGCATCGCGATTGAACCACCAGCCTCGACTGAACCGACTCTACGTCGAGGTCAAAATTTGCAGTCTGAAAAGGAGGCAGAGGAATGGAATGCGACTGATTCACTTCATTCTTTCAACCTGTTTGGACGTGAATGCTTCCCGTTCGAATGCTTCTGCTTGCTTCAAGGGAGAAGGGGTGAGTGGGAGGGAGGGAGAGAGGGTGGGAAAGAGGGAGGGAGGGAGAGAGGAAGGGATGCTCTGCCCAAACGAGGGGTAACAATAGAATGTACATGGATGTCTCTGGAGAGGTCTTCGCTGCAGGTGTGGAAACACTTGATGAATCCAGTGAGAGATAACAGAGGAGGGTAATGCATCACTCGGATCGGAAGCATTCTGCTCGAAGAAATATCAACGTGCATCGAGCTTTGTAATTGTGCTGTCACAGCGGCGGCGGAACGAAATGCCGCTGTAATGAGCGCGTGGATGGAAATCACGATATTTCGGAAGAAATAAATAAAACATTTTCCCAACGGGAGATTCCCCATTTGGCTCAAGGTGTAAATGAAGGCCCACATCGCAGTTTCCACGTGCGATTCTTCACCCGATTCCCGGCATCCCTTCTTCCCCATTATGTCAACTCCCTCGTGTGCGGCTGATTCCCCTGACACTTTTATTGAGGGTAGCCATGAGCGCTTAACAGCCTCATCCGTCACGTTTAAGGGCCTCCTTCATTAGAGTGTTGACAAAGTGTTGACTCTTTCGGTCACATACGAAGCGCAACATCTCGGCATTTACATAACATTTAAACAGGCAGCCATTTCAATTACTTCCGGCATTTCAATTGCTTCCAACATTTCGATTACTCCGAAAGTAATCTCAAAAGCGGGAAACACAAAAGCATATCGGGATGAAAACATGCAAAAGCTCAATTCATTAAGCCCACGGCCCCCCACGGGACCTGGTCCACCGGGAATCCCATGAAAGACCTGACCGACTCGAGGGAGACCCGACCGATTGGAGGGAGACCCGACCGACTGGAGGGAGACCTGACCGATTGGAGGGAGACCTGACCATTCCATAATGGAGAATCGGCGAATCGATGCGCTCGCCGAGGCGGAAAGCCAGGAATATTCCCGTCCATTTAATCAAGGAAGGACTCTCCACGGTCTGGTTCCATCAATCGTGTCCTTTATAGACCTTCACAGACCTTTACATGTGTTTGCTCATCTCCCTCCCCGCAAAAAGAAATTAATGCCGCGAGATTACACGGGAGAGACTTTTTTATCTGGGAACCCGAGCGGAAAAGCACCTAGATTGCCTGCAAACCTCTTTCAGGCCCCTCTCAGGCCCCTCTCAGGCCCCTCTCGGGCCCCTTTCAGGCCCATTTTAGGTATACAAAAGAGGATTTCATTACGGGTAAGAACCCCTTTCAGACCCCTTGATTAAGTCATGTGCACCCACCCTCAATTCCTTCCCCTCCCAACTTAGATTCTGCAGAAAAATCTGCAATCAATCCGCCAATTCCGGGGAATTCGTCCCCAGAGACCCCATTTCACCCGATAACGATGCGGATAAGCCCCACGGAAATAAAACTTCTTCCAATTAATCCGGCCGACCAGAAGCGAAAAAAAATTGCCAAAAAAATTGGAATGATGGCAAATTCCCCTGGGACCCAGTTAGCGGCCATAGAATTTCCATTGTCATCCATACGTCCCTCCTGGGAAATGTCCCATTCGGGACCCCCCTGCGTCCCTTTCGGGACCTTCATAAAACAAGATGGATTTTGGGGTGAGACACACGGCAATATATTTATTACATGGCAATATGACGTTGGTGTATAATGCAATAAGATTCCAATTTTTTTCATGAATTTTTCGAGCCTGAGATACGCAGCAGCTCCTCGCACGTCTCTGCAAAAAATTTTGCAAAATGTTGACATAAAATTTTAAGAGAACATGTGCCAAAAAAGGTCATATAATTTTTTAAAGCAAAAAAAAGTCGAATACATTTTTGAAAAAACGCTTTTTTTTAAGCTTTCGAATTTAATATTTAAATTTAAATTGAGTGAATTGCTTGAGACGAACCTCTCAGTTTCAGCTGGGTGTTGTGATTCGGCAGCTTGGACAGCTCCGATGAGATCACCTCTGAAAATTCGCAAATTCGCAATTTTAACATTCCATTTAGCCATAAATTAAAATTTTCAAGCTTGTGAATTTCCTCACGTTTCAGTTCCTCGATCCTGGAAACGAGTGTGGCTGCAGTGCCCTCTTCGCACCGGATGCTCGGGCTGTCCTTCCCGTCTGAAATTCGAAACAATATTCAATTTCGAAACAGATTTCAGATTCGATGCAAATTTGAAATCCGAAACTAAAACTTTAAGTTCGAAGCCAATATTTAAAATCCGAAACCGAATTCCATATTTGAGGTCAAGTTCCAAATTTTAAAGGAAATTTCATGCCTTGAAAAGAATTTCGAATCCCAAGTCGAATTTCAAGTTCGAAACCAATATCCGAATTTTGAGCATTTATGTTAACATATGGAAGTGGGCGGTGGCTCACCTGAAGCGTCGCGCTCGACCTGAATGGATAAAAATAATGGAAAATGAGGATTAAGACGGAGGATCATGGGTGGAGGGGTCATTAGAGTAATAACGGAGGGGGGGACATTTGGAGGGGGAACATTTAGAGGGGGGGACATTTAAACAATGAAGGGGGGGAGAGGACATCATTAGTCAAAGTGTGTGCGGTGTCGCTCGTGTGTGAGCGGTGGATTGACTTTTAAGGGCGAGGCTTATGCCTTCCGCCGGTGCTCAATAATGGACAACTCTTAATTTGATGAGACGATGCCATGCACGCAAACCAATTGTCTTGATTAGATCCGAGATCATTAGGGGATGGTTGTTGCACGGCAGGTTTTTTTTAGGTTTCGCTTACCGGGCGGTGAACGGGTTTGAAGGCGGAGGAGTGAGATTCCCAGGGGGTGAGGGGGGAGGGGAAGGTGAGGGAGGAGGGGGGGAAGGAGAGGGGGGAGCGGGGGAAGGGGAAAGCGGCGGCTGCTGCTGCGAGGGCCCCGCCGTTCCACAGGCCGGTCCACATCAACGATGGGGGGCGGGATGGTGGGGGCGACAGGACCTGTGGGGATGAGATGGAGATCAGATGAGGATGAGATGGGGATGAAATGGGGATGAGCACAAAATTCGATGAAAATATGATCAACGACGGTGATAGATTCTCACTGACCTGCTTCTCAGCCGCGAAACTCGGCGCCGACAGCGACGACAGGAGCGACGGCGGCGGGAGGAGCGGCAGCGGCGGAAACGGATGGTAATTCCCCGCTCCCCCTGGGAATTCCCCTCCTCCCGTCGGCCGGATCCGCTTCGCCTGGTACGCCGCCTGTATCCGCGTGCTCAGGGAATGCGCCAGCATCCGCTTCCGGGTGCCGCCGTTGAACATCGCCTGCGTCGCGAACACTTCAACTTAATATCAACTTAACATTTGTTTAGTTTAATATTCATTTCAACTCAATATGTTTCAGCTTAACATTTGTTACAGCTTCTTAACCTAATGCTTTAGTCTATTAATTTCTCCGAGAAGTCCTTGACCTTGAACTGACCTTTACGTCTTCCCAGGCATGGAGGACGTCCTCAGACGGCTCCCCGTATAGCTGCAGGTGCCGGCGCCACGCGTTGAAGTTCGCCGCGTCCGGCTGGCGGTACGCGCCGGAATTCCCGCGGTGCGAGTGAAAAATGAATTTGTTGGGGGAAAAGTAGAGGGCGCAGGTGTGGCATCGGACGCACTTCGCCCGGGAAGAATTGTAGCGCGAGGGCACGAAGGCGCCTCTGCAGCCCCAGCCGCATTCGTGGAACACCTGTTGAGTGGAACAGTTGAATATAATTCAATTCAATTCAGTTCAATTTTAATTTTAAAATCAAAAGTATAAACTGAGAATAAAATGGAAGAAAAAGCTGAAATTTAAAAATAAATAACGAATGCATGAATAATGTAAATTAAAAGACTTTTTAAAACAAATAAATAGCAAATAAAAATAAGTCACGAAACATAAATAATTTTTTTAGAATGAAATTTGAGTCACGACGCACGTCGAAAGCGAAGTTCTCCGGCAGTCGCGGCGGCGCGTTGTCCCCGAGGAAGGACTTGCAGAGGCGCTCCGCCTCCCGCTTCGAGATCATCCCGCAGCGCCGCGAGGAGACGGGCATGGCCCCGGCCCGGCGGAGCAGCTCCAGCTGGACGGGCGTGCACTGTCGTAGACGCAAAACGAATCGAATGAGGATGTGTTTTAACGGCTTCGTGGAATAGATAGCAATGAGGTGAATGGCCTGATGGAATAGTCCGAGTAACCTGCTTGCATCGAGAGCTTTTACTCTCCCTCCATCAGAATGAGAATTTTTCAACGACAAAGTCCTCAATTAAATTCAAATGTTTTCATTTTTATTTTAATTGCAATTTTTTTTTTTAAATTAGTGTTGGTCCTACTATTTACACAAATATTTGCCTCGCATGGAACGTTTGCCCTGCTCTGACCTGGACGCATGTGATGCCCAGTGCCACCCTCCTGTTGTGGATCTCGTTGTAGGAGAAATCGCGGAGCAAAGTGTTGGAGATCTGGGCGAGGCAGAGCCGCTCCGTCCCGTCCATCACGAGGGAGACGATCGGCGTCCCCTCCAGCATCACTTCGCCGACCTGGGGGGTCGTTTAAGGGGGTTGTTTGATGAGGAGTGGGTCGTTTGGCGCAAAGTTTTCTGGATTATTTTTTTTTATTATGGGATTTTAATTTTCGAGATTGGAATTTTTCGCGTCATATAAATTTCAATTGACTACATTCCCTTCAATTGACAATATCCCTTTTCAATTGACCATATGTGGGGTGATTAAAAAGTTCTAAGCCTGGGGCACTTCCAATTGCAATAGGCCATTCTTATTCTGAGAATACAGATGTTTTGATGGTGACAGGCAAAATTTCATCATATTTGTCAATTAAAGATACCTTCCTTTTTTTTTCAATGTACCGCCGAAGAATCTGTTGAAGAGGTATTAAAATTGAGATAAATGCTGCGATGAATTTTCTAAACTCTAAGGAGTCGACCTCCCTGCAGATCATTCATGGAAGTATCAGCAGGACCCTATTCTCTTAGCAGCTGAAAGATCTGCAGCGAGATCGACTCCTTAGAGGTTAGAAAATTCATCACAGCATCTGTCTCGATATCCTTTCAGCAGACCCTTTGGTAGTGCATTGAAAAAAAATTAATGGAGGCTGTCTTTAATTGACAAATAAGATTAAATTTAGCCAGTCACCATCAAAAACGTGTCTTCTCAGGAGAAGAGTAAAACATGTGTATTGCAACTGTAAGTGCCTCAGGCTTAGAACTTTTTGATCACCCCGCGTATATCCTTCAATTGACCACATCTCTTTCAATTGACCACATCTCTTCCAATTGACCACATCTCTTTCAATTGACGGTCAAAGGACACAACTGAACGCCCACCTGGTTCTTGCTCGGATCGGCGTGCATCGCGAGTTTGTCGGCGGTGCCCCTCACCGTCGAGTCCGGGCTCGTCGTCGCCTCCATCCGAGCCTGGAAAATGGCGTGCAAAATTAATGCAAAATTCTTGTAATCGCGCGGTCGACGTTGACAGACGGGGTGGGGCTGCGCGGGGAATCCCATTCCCCTCGATCGATATCAATCGTCGAAACGATTGCTCCAGGAGCGATCGATCCGGATGAGAAATTGGCACGCGAAAAATTGGCACACGAAAAATTGGCGCCGTTCCACTTTCTTCTCTCGAGATCGAAATTCAGACGTCGGGGAAGAAAAGTTACTTCGCGTGGATTTATGGATGTTTGTTTGATTCCCCTTGGGGTGGGGAATCATTAAGCTAACATGGAACTTTAATCAGGTTTTCCAACGTGATTTGTCGCAGAGGAGGGTGTGGCCATTTATAAGCCTCCCCACACCCCTGGGGACGACACGGATCCACGCTCTTTGGAAATGAACCTGTGATTGAGGAGGATCCCCTGTTTTTTCGCTGGAGAGGGGATTCTCTTTTTCGAGGTGATTCCTCTGAGGGGATTCCTCAGAGGGGATTCCTCTGAGGTGATTCCCTCGATAGAGGCGATTCCTCCGTGAGATTGCATTTGCGGCTCCGCGCCTGGCAATAATCGAATAAAACGTGTTTGATGGCCCCCGATTCTTCACGCTTCCCTGCGTCTTTCGTGTCCTCGTATGGAGAATATCCGTCACAATATCGTCACAATATCATTAGATCCAGCCCGATAGAGACGTATTCCACTTACACTCGTCTGCTGCGACGCGGAATCATATTGCCTTGCGGTAATTACGATTTCTCGCGTAATCTTTGTAAACAATATCGTAAATCGGAAAAAAAAATCGGCAAAAGATCGGCAGACCCGTAAAGCAAATCGGGGTGCGGGCACTCGCCTCAACAGGGGAAAAAGACTTATTTAGCAGGAAATGAAACTCACAAGAGCGTAAGATGTGGCGAATCTCGAGGATGCACTAAGTACAGGACTGTCCAAGGGTGGAGGAGGATATGGAGTGCTGGAAGACAGTATAAGCCCCGCCCACTTGGGAGGGGCTTCCCCCGGCTCCACCAATCGGGATCGAGCCGAAGGGTGGAGGCAGTTCCCCATATTTCTTGTGCATAGATACCGTGCACGGACCTTGAATTAGTGACGGTTCTCGCGCAGGTGATCAATAAAACGTCCACTAATTCCATTCGACCACGGAATCCAAAATTGCACGTGAAAGTGGCGGAACGGTCAAATTGTCGACATTACTTCTTTGTGGAATGGGAGGCACTCGCCAAATAAACTCAAACCATGCGAAATTCCCCTGATGACGGCCTGCATTTCGTCTATTCGCATCGAAGACAGTTCAAATCGAACCGGAAGAAACCAATGAAGCGGATTGCGGATGCGGGCCCGTCAATCGCCTCCTCCGCACTCGTCCGCCGCCCGTCTCCCATGGAGGACTTCGAGGACGTCCTCGCCCTCGTGGGCGGCCTAGGCCGGTTCCAGCACCTCATCCTCTGGCTCGTCCTCCTGCCCTCCTTCGTCCCCTGCGGGTTCAACGCCTACAATCAACTCTTCATGACGGCCTCGCCCGAGCACTGGTGTCGCGTCCCCGAGCTCCAAAAGTATAACATTTCGCTGCAGGTTCAAAAGGAAATCAGGTAAAACACTGAATTTATATTACATTTAAATATAAATTAAACTTGAATTTAATATATCGGTGCATTATTTATGCATACTCAGCAATTTAATGCATCTTTTACCGTATTTGTTACATTTACCGCATTATATTGAAATCTGTCGCATCTAAGAACCTCTTCCCCCCCCAGCATCCCCCTCTTGAACGGGGTTTCTCATTCCCCATGCCTCATGTACGACACAAACTACACGGACCTGATGGACTCTACGCCGATGGAGGGCAACCGCACGGGCATCCCCGACCCCAGCTGGCCTCGAGTCCCCTGCCGACACGGCTGGCTCTTCGACACGTCCCTGCCGTCCTCCACCATCGTCACCGAGGTCAGCGTTTAAAGGCTCTTTGCAGCGGAATCCCTCGAAATTTTAACACAAATCAACTGAGTTTCACTTTTCAACTGAGTTTATTGAAGTCGAAAATCGCCAATTCGTTGAGGGCGAGCAGGCAATAAATTTGAGATGGGAGATTAATCGATTTTGCTTCCCGTTTTGGAGTGGGAGATGGTGTGCGACCGGGGCTTCCTGCCGACCTTGGCCCTGGTTCTCTTCAACATATCGGGGCTCATTGGGAACTTCATCCTCGGGTACCTGCAGGACACGTGAGTGAATTTCATTCATGTGAATGAATAAATTGAGGGGAAAATAAAATTCGATGAAATGAAAAGATAACGGAAATCGAACATAACGTTGTAATTAATATGATAGGAATAAAATGTAAAATATAAAATATCATAAATTAAATAGATGGATTGGAATGGGTTTAAAACAGGATCGGGCGGCGTCCGTCGTATTTCGTGTACCTGGGAATGGCGACCCTGTTCGGGCTGGGAACGGCGTTCGCCCCGAATTTCCCCTGCTGGGTTCTGGCCAGAATCGGCGTTGGATTCGCCGTTCCGGCGGTCATGGGCACTCCGATGGTCCTCTGTCAGTCGAGGAACGGAAAGTTGGGAGAATTTGCGGGCGAATTCGATCGAGGGATTTTTTTTTTGCGATCTTGCAGGTATCGAGTTGGTGGGGCCGGAGCATCGTTCGTTCACGTCGATCGTGTCGAATGTGGCGTACAGCGTGTGTCTCATCCTGCTGGCGGGGGTGTGTTGGTTGGTGAGGCCGTGGAGGCAGTTGGCCGTGGCTACTTCCCTTCCCTTTGCGGCTTTCTTCCTCTATTGGTGGTATGGATTGGGAGGGGTGTCGTGGGAGGGGGGGAGGGGTGTCGTGGGAGGGGGGGGGGGGGGGGGGGGGGAGGGGGGGGGGGGTGGGGGGGGGGGGGGGGGGGGTGGGGTGTCGTGGGAGGGGGGGAGGGGTGGCGTGGGAGGGGGGGAGGGGGGGTGGGGGGGGGGGGGCTGGGCCGTTTGGTGGCTCTAGGGAGGTGCTGAGAGGTGATGGGGTTTGGAGGAGGATCAATGTGGAAACCATTGGGAATGGTTTTCCACAGTGCTTCGACAGTTTTGTGGCCGTCGGTCTTCGTCATTGATCGCGGGGAAAATCCAGATTCTTGAAAGAAGCTAGAGGAGGATGGAGTGGTGTATGGCGGATTACAGCCTCAAATCTCAAATTATATTGTCTTTGATGGGATGCAGTCGCTTGCTAAAATATTGCTAAAAATGCAGTATTTTTCTCAGATTGTTTTTCATATCCGCATATTTCTTTGTCGCATTTTCGAGGATCCTGCCGGAGTCGCCGCGGTGGCTGCTGGCCCGGGGCCGGATCCAGGAGGCCCGGCGGGTGCTGGAGAAGATGGCGGCCATGAACGGGAACCCGATTCCGCCCGACTTCGAGGACATCTTGCAGGTATAGCCTGAAATTTTCCTGCATGGAAAATTGGCTGGAGCTCCGGGCATCTCATGTTCACAGGCGAATTTCATATTCTCGCTAAAAAAAAAAAAAGTTCGGAATGCCATTTACAAATGACCACGGCAGTCAATAATGACCTGTAATTAAGAGTAATACAAAATTATTAATGGAAAGTAGTAGGGGCCCACTGTCCAGACCAACCGATCGATCGCCATTTCTCGTTCTTCCACTCGATAAAATCCAAACGTACATTACGAATGTTTTTTCACCAAAACAGAAAGTGTACCAAGGAGAGAAGGAAGAGAAGGAAGAGAAGAACTATGGACTGTCCGACCTCTTCTCCACTCCCAACCTCCGCCGGAAGACCCTCATCATCACCTTCATCTGGTACTATCTTTCACCATCCTCCACCTCCACCATCCTCCACCTCCACCGTCCTCCACCTCCACCATCCTCCACCTCCACCGTCCTCCACCTCCACCATCCTCTACCTCCACCGTCCTCTACCTCCATCCTCCACCACACCCCAGTCTGAACTGCTGTCTCCTCCAGGTTCACCAACACGAGCGTCTACGTGGGCCTCTCCTACTACGCCCCCCTCCTAGGTGGCGACGAGTACCTCAACTTCTTCCTCGCTGGTGCAGCGGAGCTTCCGACTTACCTTTTCCTCTTTCCCGCGCTCGACCGCTGGGGCAGGCGGTGGACCCTCGCCGCCTCCATGATCGTGGGCGGGATCGCCTGTCTCGCTACCTTCCTCGTCCAAGGATGTCTGTTTTTTTTTCACTCAGTTACTAAAAATGCTGAGAATGGAATTTGGATCGAAGATTCCAGTCGGTCGATTAGCGAGACTCTTCTAGGGAAACTCCCCAATAGTTTGCATTGCTATAATTATATCCAGTGTCGCAGGAAGAATTTAAGATGCACTGAAGTGAAAAAGAGCCGAGACGGTTCCATGAAACCTCGGAGCCTCAGTTCAACAAGGTTCTTACTGGCATTAAAAAATAAAAAACATTAATCTCCGGCTCGTTTCTCGAAATGGGGGAACTTCCATTCTGCAGGCAAAAATAATATAATAGGAAATGACGGATTTTATGTACTTGCACTAGTGTCACCCTCTCTTCCATTCAAATTCAGGGCAGGAATTGACCCTGGCGCTTTACTGCGTGGGGAAGCTGGGGATCTCGGCCGCCTTCGTCGCCCTGCCGCTGATGGCGTCCGAGTTGTATCCGACAGTGGTGAGGGGGAGCGGGCTGGCCTTCTCCGGGGTGGCGGGCATGGTCGGGCCCGTCTTCATCCCAATCGTCAACTACCTTGTAAGCAGGCTCCAATTAGCATTTCAACAACTTAAGAAGGGTTCTTTAAGTTAAAAAAAAGTTGTTCAATTTCAGTTTTAAAAATCGTCAATAAAAAGTATTTACCATTTTTTAAATTGTAAAACAGAGTGGATAAAAATTGGTTTCGTGGATCTCGACCGAACGCGATCGAACAGGGGACGGAGATGCTGGTCCTGCCTCTGCTGGTGATGGGTGCCCTGTCGGTGCTGGGGGGAGTGAGCGGGCTGGCCCTGCCCGAGACCCTCCACGCCCCCCTGCCTCAGACGCTGGAGGAAGGGGAACGGTTTGGGAGGAATCCGTCGTGGAGGGAGGCGATCGCATGCTGTCCGGGGAGGAGTGAGGGAGGCGAGGCGGTGGGTGAGGGAGGCGAGGCGAGGGGCGAGGAAGGACGGGCTTGATCCTCGTTGCTGTGAATTGAAATTTTGATTCGGTTTGCGTTGAGAGGACTCTGTATCTGTTGGGAATTATATCTTGATGCGTGTGGATTATGGGATTCTGGTGACTTGTAAGTATGCACAATGCAAACACCTTCATTAAGTAGAATCTTCCGTTTTCGGACATTCCCGAAGACCAAAGGCATGCCACGCGAAGGGAATCGGTCCTATCCATGCGGCACAACAACGTCGTGTCGACATGAAAGGTGGAAATGGTTGGGGTTGAGAATTCAGCGAAGAATCAGCAGCGATGAAATGCCAGCTGTTCATAATCAGTGGCGTAGCCAGGTTATCGTCAATGGGGGGGCTAAGCGGAAAGTTGGGGGGGCCCCACCCCGACGAGGGGTGGGGCAGACGCATTTCGATCAGAGTTTGGCTTGAACCAAACTTGGGGGGGCTGAAGCCCCCCCCCCCTCGCTACGTCACTGTTCATAATTAACAGGATTCTCAGCTATATACCGTAGAGACTCCTCGTGGAATTGCGAAGTCGTTCGGAGGGCCTTCGTCAGAGTCCCTAAAGCGTTTCGACATCCAAATTATCTCAATTCTCGACAGAAAATGGATCCACTCCAATTCTCACCCTGGCGCCACATTTATTCTTTCTTTCGTACAACTTGAGGGAAGGCCTTGGAATTCCTCGATAGACCCGTTTAAGGATCATCACCCGACGGACGGAGACTCCAGGTACTTCTCCAGGTACTTCTCCAGGCACCGAGGAAACACATAAAATATTCCTCGCTCGCTGCAAAGAGACAAATCCGGGATGAGGCCGCGTAATTCCGTAATTGGACGGAATTAGTTGTGTAGTTTGAGAACTCAACTCGGATTCCGATCCAGTAGAGGAAGTTGCAGAAGGAACCAATCGTTTTATGACAGTACTCACACGAGTACTCATTGAGTACTACTCACTAGAGTACTTTTAAGTCATAATCTATATAATAGCGCATTCAATCTCAAACGTAGGACCGTGTTTCATTTCGACATTGCGGTTGAGCTGAAAAAGCTTCAAAATCAATTTTAAAATATACATTTTCGCATCTTACCTGAAGCAACTTTCTGAAAAAAAAGAATATTATGTTTGTTCTAGGGCTGTCAATTCGATTAATTTAATCTATCGATTAATATATTAAAGTATTAATCGCGATTAAAAAAATTAGTCGAAATTAATCGAATTTTAATCAACGCCCTAATTTCCCCCAGAAAGCCTCCTTTTCCCCTTATAATTTTATACTATAATAATACTTCAATTGATTAATCGGTCGATTAAATTAATCGAATTGAGAGCCCTAATTTGTTCAGTAAAAATTATTGGAGTAAATGCTAGCTTGTTTTAAAACGAGTTGAAACATTAAAAGTAACAAGTCATATAGTAAATCACAAATGCCCTTTTCGCGCCTTCATTGAAGCGAGTCGCTTCAGCTCACCCCACTCTTGTTAGGCTCTGAATAACTTCCAAGTGAGGACATGAGCAGTTATGGCCATGACGCTCATAACGGCACCAAGACGGTACTGGCATCTTCGTTGTTGGATACTGTCTGTAGTTTACGCTTATCGACAAGAGGTGTCGCATGTGCTACATTCCTGACGATTCATCGATGCGGTTGCTAGAAGCACAGGTTTGATTCTCTCACTGCATAACTCCTGAAACAGCCTCGCTTTTGCATATGGAGACATTAAACATATTCTAAGCTTGTAAATATAGTCTATCACTCGCATTGATTGCTTTAGATGCGTCTATATGAAGTTTTTGCAAATAGATTACATCTTACAGGTTGAATGGTCTGAGTGGAGGATTTGGCAACTGTGCATTGACACGTCAGCTGGGTCAGTTGCGTTCCACATGGAGAGGCCGAACGACGCCAGGGAGGGGGACCAACTCTTTCGTGTTTTTCCGTAACGTTCCGTTACAGAACGGACGTATTCGAGTTAGAGCGGTCGGTGAAAATGAGCCTGACCGATACGGAAGTGATGGATCTCCTTGGCCTCCCGGCCAGCAAGGCCGACGGTTGTTTGAACCTCGGCCTGGATTTGGGACTCATGGACTGGAAGTTCAATTCCACCATCCATGACTTCGACAAAGAGGTGAGGGAAGGAATTACGTATTTGAATCATTTTCACTTTCTCAGAGAGGCAAAGGTGTATAGGGTAGACTGCCTTGCCTTTGGCTGAATACTTGCTGATGAAAGTTAACGTTAGGCCCACGTTGCTTACGTGTCACGTATCCATTCGAAGAGATGCAATATGTTAATATCCGGCAAAAAGGGAAGTATCAGAATTAAGGGGAAAGGAAAACCAAGCAAAGCAAGATCAAGGGTAGGCCGCCTAGTTTCAGACACCATCGCTCATCAATATTTTCCATAGCGTCAGCGTTTCCATATGTGCAAATTAGAGCTTTTGTATTTTTGCGCGTATGTCTCATGCTTTCTACTCTAACTTTACATTTCAACGATTTTTTTCATTCGTAAGGGTGCTAGGTTTTTGCATCAGAAGTTTTACCTAGCTTATTGCAGTTTTTGTTGTAAGATTTTTTAGAAATTGAAATACTTAATTTTAATTGATTGAACTTTTATTTTTTTATGTTTTATGATAGAATGCAATGAACCATATGAATCACCCTAGAGGTTTGGTACCTGCACCTGTCATTCTGTCACTCAACTATTGAATTGTTTTTCATGGTTGTAAGTGAGAATTTCTACTCTGCATAGAATGGAACAGAATGGGATATTGGCATAACAAGATGAGTGGATCACTTTCAATCTGTATTTGACTTACAGATTGCCAAAGTACAGCCATTTTTTCAGTGATACAATGTGCAATGGACTGGGTAATGGAGCTAGGGAATGCCTAAGGAATATTTTAAACAGTGCAGTTTTAAATCATGGTCCCAAGTTTTCTTGCCCTTCTATGCCTAGGTGATCAGCATTTTATTTGCTTTGGGTTAGCTTTAAGCAAATGTATTTCTAGAACTTATCATCACGTTGTGCTCCATGGCAGGAACAATAAGAAGCTGGATGTGACTCAGCCTCATTGGTCCTGATAGCTCAGTATGTGTCAGTGGATATTCCTAATATCTGACTGACATTGAAGTGGCTAGCACCTTCTCTGTGTCTACAAATAAAGGTTTCAGAGTGGTAGCATTAATGTGTATGATGCATATTTAGCCTGAAGGAAGCCATTTGGTTCTGAATTTATGCTGTCTTACTTTTGTGCTGTCTTGTTCTCCCTATTGGTACTCTATTCTTAATGAAGTTCCATTCTTTACTTTCTATAGCTTGACATGGGTGCTAACGTGATAGCTGAGCAGACCAAGAATGGTAGCCTCATGGGGGTATCTGATGAAGATGTAACTAATATCAACAAGTTCTTTCAAGAGCTCGAAGGAAATGATGGCTTTCAGCTGACTGATGAAGATAAGGACTTGAACACATTGCTTGTCAATCCAAGTGAGGTGTTCTTGGCTGATCTGGAGGACCAGCAAAAGGAAGTTGATGGGACAGAAGCAGATGTGGAATCTGTTACAAGCCCTCACAGTGTTGAAAGTAGCGTGTATGAGCATCCCAGTGATAATTCCAACCAAGGAGAGGTTCAGACTCAACTTGATGATACTGGTGAGTTGAGCCAGAACTATCAACCTTCTTTTTGATCCTTTTCTTATGGAATTTTTATTCTTTGCGATCTGCTGTTGTTAGACCTGCAGTCGAAGGTGATAGGGAGCATCCCATTGGAAGCCTTGGGTCTCATTGGGGATAGCAGATTCATTCAAGTTAACGATGGATCAGGAAAAAAGACCTTTGTGATCAAGTCGGGCCAACTGAGGAAGGGAACAGTACGCATTGTGAAAGCTGCAGCGGCTGCCCACACAGCTCATAAGAGGAGCTTGGGACACGATTCCAATTCATCTTCAAGTGATGAGGAGAAGGAGAAACCTACTTCACAGCATTCCTATCCGGAACTGAAGCTCACCTGTGAGTGTGGATCATTGAATGCTGTTGAATTGCATGATTTTCCTGGGATTCCACCAATGCAGATAATCGGATGGATTGATTGGTCAAACAAGAATAGGTGATCAACATGATATGTAGCAAAAACCTAGTCATGATGTGGTCATTACTGAATAAACAATGGGATAATGCACACAATTAGACCATATAGGTTGTCATACAATAGCCTGGATCCAGGCAGTAGTGGGCTAAAAGGAAGAGTTACTTCCCTCAGCAGAAAATGTAACGATTGAACATTAGACTTGAAGAAATTGCTGGAAGAAAAGAGTTCCAGCTATTTCACTATTGGTATTTTTTGTCAATGGACCTTGGAAAGAAAAAGTCTCAAGAGAACATACCCAAAAGGAAAGAAGCAAAGATATTTAGCTAAGGAAGATATTAATTTCAATTAACATTTAGAGGAGGGCTGTCACTGTAACTTCATATAAAGGAAGTAGATTTCACCCAGAATGGAGGGATATGCTGGGAAAAAAAGTAATAATGCAATTGAGTGGAATTCTTGTTGGCCACATCAATTTCTGGCAATTAATGGCAATCCAAGTATTATTTTTTTTGGCCTGGGTTGAGATTGAGAGTGTGAGACTGAAGGATAAACTTTCCTTTGCTATCTATCTTCTTTCCTTGATGTGTCTGCAGCCCAGAGAGATTACAATACATGACTTATGCAAGGCTATGCATTTTTTCCATATGATTTGAAATGAAAATTCCACTCTAATAGTGAAAAAAAGGAAAAGGAAGGTAAGCAGAAGGTTCTTATGACACTATTCATAACATTACAGTGATTTTTGCATTTTCTGTGTATGGAATGTAAGAAGAGAAATCTTCAAGATGTAGAATGATCTTGGAACATAATTATTTTGTAGTGTTCTCGTATCCTGAACTAGGTTATTATGGATGTAGCTTTTCTGCTTCATAATGGTAGCACTTGGGACTGTATGATTTAGATGGTTGACATTCATAATATCTATGTTTCAGCTTTTCCTTTGGTGAATGTAGGGTCATGCTATCATGGGTTAACCAGAAAAAAATTTTTACAGCTGAAGAGAAGAATCTGGTTGAGAGAGAAGGAGTTAAGCTGCCAAGCCACTACCCATTGACCCGCCTGGAGGAGCGGGAGCTACGCCGCATACGCCGCAAGATCCGTAATAAGCGGTCAGCCCAGGATTCCCGTAAGCGGAAGAAAGAATACATGGATGCCTTGGAGGATCGAGTGAAACAATACACTGAAGAGAAAGAGGCCCTGGCAAGACGAGTCACTCAACTGGAGTCCCAAAATGCAAGTCTCTTAGCCCAGCTGAGACAGCTGCAGGCTGCAGTGTGTGGGGCAGCCGGACGCTCTGCCCCTGCATCTGCTGCAATGCTCATCCTCCTCTTCTCATGTGCCCTTCTTATGGCACCCTCTATGAGACAGAGTGGAACCATTCCAAATGGAGGATCTGGTGACTCCAAAACGTCCACCAACTCCCTCCTCCAAGCAGGTCTGTTGTACTTAATATCTCAGCATCTTTGGTTTTGTATTTATGATCTTTATGGGTTTAGTAGCCACCTGACTGAAGTTAGCCTGAGTAGGTCATGATAAGAAGTATCACAGGTTAATGTGAAGTTCCTGATTTTGAACTCAGCTCAGGTTATGTTTCTTGAACATGGTGGTCTCTCACTGCTCACATTATTGAATGAATTATGCTTTTGAAGTTTTCATCTGTGATGTATTGAGCAAGACCTGTGTTTTGCAGGGAAGAGAGCATTGCTGTCAGATGTGAAAAGTTCATCCTGGCTGCCTGGGCACGATGAAAATGAGGGCAAAGTCTGCAATGCCCCTGCATTTAGCAAGCCTGCCGGCCGAGGCTTCGTCTGCATTGACGACATCGATGACTTGGATGACGAAATGCCCTGGGCAGACCCAGATGTAGAGAGGTAGGCTTCATCACAAATATTTTCTACATTATTTCCTGGCAATCAGAGCCAACAATTTATAGAGTCTGTCTTTGTAGATATGAGGAGGTGGTGTCCTCTGATCCCGATTGGGATCCAGATCCTGGATCAGATCCAAGATTGGATCCATTGGTGGATCACGATTATGAGCCACCAGGAAAGTTCCAGATCCTGGATCAGAATGGAACACTGGTCATGACTACTGTCATGCCAAGAAATGTATCAGCCCAAGCTGTTGAATAATTCCTCTTTCTCTTCAGCTGTCTTTGTGATGAATTTTAAAGCAGTTATCTATTCCCTCCATTTGTTTTTGTCTTTGAATCAATATGTTTGAACCTTTGTGTCTGGGTGGGTGTTTGCATGCACAGTCACTGCAAAATTTTAAGAATGTATTTTATGTGTTCATGGAAGGTGTGCAATGAATGAGGAGGGGATAGATTCCACAATAAAGATGATTCTATGGAAATGTCTATTACACTGTCTGCTACATGTCAGGCACTCTGTCAGGTCTTTTCATCTTTGAGAAGGCCCAGCCTTGAGCTGATGCCCTTGACCTGCTTTTCATAACCCTTGAATGCTCAAGGGTCAAGGATTCCATAGAGGTGTTGAGTAGCATATTTGATGTTATCAGCACTTGTAGTCAAGCTCAAATGCTATTTCCGTTTCCCCTCTGAGATAGACCTGTCCCACTTGAAGTGTTAGTGGGGCAGTAGCTTTCATCCAGCTATAGTACTTATATAGTGCGTTGTTTTTCATATCTTGCCCTTGAAAGCTTTTAACCACTTCTAAAAGCTATCTATAGCATTGGCATGCATTGCATCATCCCCTGATGCATTACACTGACACATTACCAGTTATTCAGCTGATGTTGGAATTTGGATAACGTGAACTTGTTCCTCTTCGTTCTCCCGTTACAGTCAAATCCTATCACACTTATCAGAACCATTGGCCCTAACCCCTAACCCAGAACCATGTGGTCTGTGACCAAAAGGGTCAAATGCAGTTGAAGAGTCAGAAGAGTCGTTCAGGATTCCTTTGGAACCCCTGTGCTAAACAATGACTCATTGGGTAACCGCTAGGATTGGACATTAACTGTGTCTCGTTTAATAAAAACCTTTTTTCCTCTCTCCTTCCACAACCCCCACCACTCGGCCCAAACAAGAAGGCTTTTCTTAACTGAGACAAGGTTATAAAGTAACTTTGTTTTGGTATCAAAGTTTAATGTACTTTGAATTACAGATAGCACTCAATATAACGAACTTGAAGGGACTGGTGTTTGTTATAAGGAAAATTCGACAGGAAATTCCTCACATTTTGCTGGAAAAAAGGACCTGCTAAATATCCCTTTTAAATCTGATTTATTACAGAAAAGCTAGTAGTTTGTTTATTCATGGAAAAATGTGAAGGTCTCAGCGTGTGTCATATTTCAAAAATATATTTCAAGACGTGTATCTATCAATAAGTGGGTGTACACGAAGATTGAAAAGTTTCAAGGTCAGCATTCAGCCTCTGAAAAACAGCTGAAGATAGTCGAAGGCTGCGATTGTCTGACCCTCATCCTTGAGTTCCTGAGAATATTAAGAGCGACTGACAGCTTCCCCGTGACCACACCCATATATGGGTGGAACGTGATAAACTTGGGTATGAGATTTTTCAGGAATGCACGAAAGTCCCTCTGACTTGTGCAGCAGACCTCATAATATTGGACGTTTTTGTTCCTTCGGGCGAAAAAAATATGACTTAGGAAAACCGAAAAATTCATTATGCAGATCTTCGTTACAGAGGAACTTCTCAACATGCATTTGAATGAGCAAATGGCCGGACACTGCAAAATTATTTGTAAATAAGGAAACTCGTTTCATCGAGCGTCAACTGAACTAATTTCCAAGCAGGGACGTGGTTGAGTCACAACGGAGAAGCATGTATGGTACCCATTTTACCCGAAGTAAAGGCAGGAAGATGAGGAGAGAGACCAGGAATAATTTTTTTTTTTTTACCGTTGAATAATTTTTACGGTTACACCGTGTACTTCGCTGTCAGGGTTCCACAACTGCCAACATTTCAGAAGTCTCAACGAACGAATCCAAAGAGTTGCATTAATTCGGATGGACAAGAAGGTTAAAGGGTCGAATGTGCCCAATTTCCGCCTCGAATCCCCGACATCTCACCTAGCCATTAACGACAGGGACAGATAGAATGCCACAGTAAAAATCCACCTGGCCATTGGGTTTCATGCAATTACAGATAAGATTCCCCCACCAGCGTCTCGCAGTTCAGCATGGCAACAGAGAACTTGGCCTGCGTCGTCCATGCCAAGGATGACCTCCGCATGGTGAGTCATCGAGAACCCATTTATAATTTATGGGCATGGGACAATTTTTTTATGTACTTTTTTTATTATTTTATGAGAGTGGTGTTTCTCTCTATGGCTTTATTTTGCTATTTCTGAGAGGGGAAAGTTATTTTATGTAACATTCTGGGTACCGTTTGATGTTTAATTGCTATTAGCAGGCTTAGGGAGGTACAGGCCTGATATAGATTTAAAAAAAATAAAAAATTATGGGTTTATCTGAGGAACGGAGCGAGATTAGCTGTTGTGGTGATGTGTGCAAACAGAAGACGTCGGGTCCTGATCGCCCGTTAAGTTTAGGTTTCACTTTTATGTAAATCTTTTTTCGAAGCAATCGATAATAATAATAATAAATACTTTTTTTTCGATAATCATGGCGCTAACGGTGAAGCAACTTTGGGAACTTGTTTACTTCTATACCCATAAGGTTGGTTCCAGGGTTTCTTTGGCTGCAAAGCACTTCAGCTGCTCGAAGTCGACGCCGCATCACTGGTTCGAATCGTTCAAAAAGACGTGGCGGACAAACTGGGAGGAAGAAGGAAGCGGAAGCCCCCACCCCGCTACGCCACTGCTGCCGTAGATTTCGAGCAATGTGCTTTGCGGTCGCAGCCAAAAAAAATCTTGGAACCAAGCTTATGGGTATGGAGGAAAATAATTTCCCAACGCTGCTTTATCGCCGTGATTATCGGAAAAAAGTATAATTATACGAGATTGCTCGTAAATTGCTTCGGAAAAAAAGGTTTAAATGAAAAAAAGTGAAGCCTACTAACATTTACGGGTGATCAGGATAAAAAGTCTTCTGTTGTCACGCACCGCTACACAACCACACAACCGCTAATTTCGTTCCGTTCTTAAGATGAACCCTTTTTTTAAATATGTGTTAATCATTTTTTATATTTGATCTAATTCTACCAAAGTGCAGTCATTGGGCTTTAGATGATGCCATGTGTTGGTATACTCTTTTCTTTCATGAACTGGTTCATTTTAGATTTTTTGGATGGGATTGTGAGGAAGGTGAAGGAAGGTGATTTAAAAACATATAAATGTGGCAAATTGAAAAATTTTTGATATTGGGTAATTGAGAAAGGAATTTCTTGCCTTATGTTACAAAGTCCCCAACTAACAAATTTACTAAGCTAAGTGATACTTCAAGTTAACAAAGGTGTAAATTGTAAATAGGTATTACCAATATTATCATGCTTTTTTATTTGGGATTGTTGAAAACTCTTTGATTGCATAATGCAAGGGAACTGTTTTTGTGTGGTGCCTTCACTTGGGAATCTTCAATCTGTGAAACATGACATGATAGCCTCTTATGGGAATAACATTGTAGAAAGCAGGTTTGCTTCATGATGTAAAAGATGTAAAGCTTATAGAATATGGCATCTTACAATATAACAATTTAACTATTAGCATTATGAGTACATGACCTTTTAAGGACCCTATGCAGATGAATACTTCTTAGTTTTCTTCTTTCATGTTCATTTGCGGCTGTTTTTGCATTGTTATCACAGGAGCAACACTCCTTCCCAGCCCCACCAGGACCAAATGGTGAGTTTGCAGTTGCACTGATGAGTTTGTCACTGACAAGTGCAAGGACATATAAATGATGCATTTGGTCCGTAAAATAGAGGTCCTTGTCCAAATGCACTCTGTGGGGATCTGCGGATCGGACGTCCACTACTGGAAGGCTGGCCGGATCGGTGATTTCATCGTGAAAAATCCGATGGTCCTCGGTCACGAGGCATCAGGAATCATCCACCAGGTTGGGCCCAATGTGCACCACCTCAAAGCAGGTTAGACTGAAAGTGTTCAGATCAGGCCAACTACATGAATTAATCATTTCAATGTCATGTGGGTTGAATGTACACATCACTGGTTAGGATGATTGCTACACAAAGCCCCTAGAATCATCTAATGTGTCGCCTTGCCAATCAGATTCCACAGTGCATGAGCCTTGCTATCTGTGAGGATAAGTGGGGATCAGTGGAATGTAGGTGCTTGTTGATGTGTTGGATGTCAAATGGAGTCTGTGCTTGTTGATGTGATGAGTCTAGAGAATGGCACAAAACTGCATGCATTGAGTAACTGATGAAATGGAAATTCTGTGTATTGATATAAAAATCAGATGCTGGCACTGCCTCTTTTGTGCTCTTTCTGTTACTTAACATTTCAACAACCTATTTATCTGATTGTCCCAAAAATGAAGCTTTTCTGCCGATGTGATAGGTATGTCTGCATGTGGCATATGTGCATGGATGGACGTGCAGAGGGCCTTATTGATGGAGTCATTCATTGCTCATGACTTAGTAAGCTGCATGAGGATGAGGAGCTGTGTAGGAAAAATTGGCATCTTGGTATGATGCATTGACATGAAAAAATTTGCCAAAAAAAAAAAACTCAGGGGACCGTGTGGCCATCGAACCGGGAATCCCATGTCGACTTTGTGACTTCTGCAAGTCGGGTCGCTACAACCTCTGCCCTGACATTGTGTTCTGTGCTACACCCCCTGTCCATGGAAACCTGTGTCGATTCTACAAACATGCTGCTGACTTCTGCTACAAGTCAGTTCCTATCCTCTGAGTTCATCTTAGCCATGAAATAAGTGCTTGGTCTCATTTCAGCCAATGTGGGAGTATTATATTATAATGTAATAATACAATTTTATATAATTAAATAATATCATATAAAAATGCAATAATGAGAAGACCTTCTCAGATGCTATATTGGCATTGGAACATTCCTTGTGCCTTGTTGATTAAAACTCATGAAATTTTTGTATGTCACACTTGATCTTTTGATCCACTTGCCCTCCAGGCTGCCAGATCATGTGACGATGGAGGAGGCAGCCTTACTGGAACCATTGAGTGTGGGTGTCCATGCATGTCGACGAGCGGGAGTGACCCTGGGTTCTGACGTCCTTATTTGCGGGGCCGGACCCATCGGGCTGGTAAATGTCCTCACAGCCAGAGCCATGGGAGCCAGGAGAATTGTCATCACAGGTACCTATCCACACATATATCCTGAAGAGTGGCCCACAGATGTGGATTTAGGATGAAAAGTACAGCAAAGAGAAGAATCACTCACATGAAGGGAGACCAACTTTTGATCTGAATGACATCATCTTGAAATGCATTATGAGATACTCCAAATTAGTTAGAAGTAATAATCACAAATGGCTTCAGATTGCTTAAAATTAACTACATAGTACTGTCAAAGTAGTTTCTAAATTTAAAATATATATTTATATTTTATATACAGTAGATGATGCATGATTTATTTTCAAGATAGAACCTTTTTTTTTTCTTTTGTTAAATTTTTTAAATCATGTATAATTACCAATTTTTGGCAAGTACTTGAATCTTTTTGATTTTATGCAACATAGGTAGTGGTACAAGAAATTATATCTCAGCTTCAATAGTTGAAAAAATTATTCACCTCCTTCTCAAATTGCAGTTTATCTATTTTCTTAACTGGTCTTTCAGGCAGTATTTTTAACTACTCAGATTTTGCTTCCTATTAAAGCAAGTATGATAACCCATGAATTTCTTTGAGACAAACAATCTGGCAAATACTTTGGAATTCTGCTCTTCAGAAGCAAATTTATCAAACTTGCTCCATGGTGAAGCATTGGATGTTATCAAGTTTGTGGCTCGAACCTCAATTTGAGAAAACCTGAAGGACTGATACACAATGTGGTTCCTGCTTCTAGATGTAAAGGAAGATCGTTTGGAAATGGCCAAGCAGCTGGGAGCTCATCATGTCATCAATGTGGGCTCTGGGAAGTCCCTCGACACCATCACATCAGAAGTGGAGAAGGCATTCGATGGAGAAAAGCCTGAGAAGACCATTGAATGCAGCGGGGCAGAGGCCTGCATCCGCATGGGGATCCGCTGCACCCGTAGCGGAGGGACGCTGGTCCTTGTCGGCCTGGGACCACCTGAGGTGTCCGTTCCGCTCGTGGATGCTGCCGTTCGGGAAGTGGACATTCGGGGCATCTTCCGTTATGCCAACTGGTAATGCCTTGCACCTTTTTCTGCCTGTCCTGAAACTATAAAACCCAGTCTAAGATGGTGCAAACTTGTAGAACTAGTGTTCATTGATGTAGATGTATGCTGACCTGTATACTCTATGGTTTAGGATATTTGTCCTTTTGCTGCAGAGCAATACCCATTCTGCCATTTGGTAATCTCACTCAAGAACATAATTAGTTAATTACCGTATTCCTGCATGAACTCTGCTAGGCATCTGGAAAGTGCCTTGATCTTTAGATCTTGTCTGCTCCTTCTAGCCTGTTTTTATATCTTTAATTATATTTAATTATGCTTCACTAGTGTCATTGAGGTAACTATAAAAGATTTATAAACACAGAATATCTCTACAGTTATGTTTTAGGATTCATATGTCATCTCCAGGCCTTGACTGCAAGAAATATTCAATTCTTTCCTGGAATTTTCAAATCCTGGTATTTTGCAGGTCTTTCTGGGAAAAGTGATTCTTGGTCTTGGAATCTAGAGCTTTCTGAAGTCAGGGTTTTCCCATTCACCATGCCAGCAGATCATGGTAGCCTGTTTTCCTTGGAGGCTGTCTCCCTCTCACACATTGAAATGTTAAATTTTTTCTTGTTCATGCATCCTTCATGACGCATGAACTCATCCTCTGCCTGCTTTAGTTATCTTGGTGAGCACCCTTCCGTGCAACAATATCATAACTCTGTCATTACGTGGAAGGGAAACTCCCACTACCGTTGCTTCCTTTGCAATGATGAAACTCATTATAAAGCTACACCTGTCCTATGGTAGCACAGCATCCTATGTTAATATGGATTCAAGTTCCCAAAACTTTAGGATCAGCATCCTTGTGAAAAAATTCCATGCATCACCACAAGGGAATATCCGAAGAAGAGTTAATGCCACTAAATCATTCAAGGCATCGTCTCACCTGATTTCTGTCGCCTTTTGCTGCAGTTACCCGACGGCCCTGGACATGGTTGCTTCGGGTCTGGTGAACGTGAAGCCGTTGGTCACTCACCACTTCCAGCTGGAGGAAAGCATCAAGGCCTTCGAGACCGCCCATGCTGGGGCTCCGGGAACCATCAAGGTCATGATCCATTGTCATCGGGAGGGCTGAGTCGCTGTCTTCACCTGTGCTTTTCTTGTATGCATTCTGCTATGGCCTTTGTTTTATAGGCTTTTTCATTAGTGCTTTTTTCAGTTCATTATCTCAGCTTTTTTCATGAGTAATAAAATCCTGCAAACTTCATCAGAGCTACTTGACTGGATGTTTCACAGGGGTTTCAATCATGCTGGTTTTGGTGTAGGTCCATAAAGGGGTACATAAGGAATCCATTCATAACATTCACTCTTCATACATGGGTAGTTGTAGGAGGATTTGTGAGATGTGGGGATGAATGGATGAATGAGAGAATGAAATGATGAGTTGTTTTTATCCTGACGGTGAAAATTTTCTTTCAGATGGAAAAGCGTTGCACCTTGTGTTGCAAATATTCACAAACATTTCTTAAGATGAAAGTGTCTCCTGACTTACCAATCCAGGTTCACGACTCAAAATGTTAAACATTCACGAAAGTTAATAAACTCTTGTCAAACGTGTCTGGAAGCAATAAAATCGGTGGAAGCGATCTCGAATGCCCACGAGGCACTAAAGTAATAAAAAAATAAAAATCATCGCGACTCACCCGTCAAGCAATAAGGTTCTCTGGTCCCCCAGTACCCATCGGGCTTACAGACGACGTAAGCGGCCTTCGCCTCGGGGCAGATGTAGACGACGACGTCGTCGAAGGCGTTGCTCCGTCCGTCCCAGAATCCCCAGCCGTGAGCGGGATTCGCCTGAGGAGGGCCGAAGCACTCGCCGATGGTGTAGACCAGGTCGACGTCCTCCCAGATCCCGCTGAGGAGGCAGGCGCTGGTGACTTCTTTCTTGTGGTTGGCGAAGCGGGAGCCTCGGGGGGCGACGTAGGTGACGACGGTGCCGACGTGGAGGGAGCCGTCCCAGAGCCGGGTGACTTCGCCTTTGGGTTCCTTGGGGCCTTCGTGGCAGGAGGGACGGAAGCAGGTCTCGTTCAGTTCTTCCCAGCGGCCGGGGCTCAGGCAGGTCTTCTTCAGGGTCTCGCTGGTCCCGCCGTCGGGGAGTCTGAAGGCGTGGAACTCGGGGCAGCGATAGGTGACGAAGGAATCGAAGTCGTAGGTGGAGGCCTTGCCGTCTATGGAGCCGCCGGGTGGGGGCGGGTCGGGTTGGGCGATGCACTGCACCTGGTGGCAGGTCTCGTTCGGCTTTTCCCAGCGGCCGTCGGGTAGGCAGCGCTTGGTGACGGTGTCCTGGCCGGATTCGAAGAGGAAACCGCGGATGCAGCGGTACTTGACGGTGTCGTTGATCCGGGTCTCGAGGCGGTGCCAGAGGCGATCAGCTTGAGGCATGGCGATGTGCGGGTCCAAGGGGCACTCGTCGAGGCGGCAGGTGTCGTTTTGATCACAGGCGACGAGGACGCAGCGTTCCGCCAGCGGCTCCCATACACCGTGGGGGGACTGGCATCGCTTCGTCACCACGTCTTTCAGGTTCCAGTCCGAGAAGAATTTCCGACCTTGGGGGCAGGTGTAATTCACCGCGGTTCCGAATTCGTAGAGTCTTCGGACGTAGGTGGAACTCCCGCCTTCAGGGGCCGGGTCGGGCGTGACGATGCAATGCGTCTGGATGCAGGTCTCCCCGACCGGTTCCCACAGCCCGGTCGGTTGGCAACGCCTCGTCACCTGTCGTTTCCCGCCGGAGAAACCGAATCCCTCGTTGCATACGTAGGTCGCAACGTCACCCAGGACAGTCGCTCCCTCGTTCCAGATCCGCATCCCGTTTCCATCCGGCTCCGGCGGCCCGAACGGGCATTCGAAGAACGCGCAGTCGGCCCGACCGACCTCCCCGGTGCAGTTGCTCCTCGCACACCTCTCCACCAACTCCTCCCACCTCCCACTCGTCGCACACTCCTTGCTCACTCTCTCCGCAGACCTCCCGCCCTTCCCCAAGAAGACCTTCGACTCCGGACACGAATAATTGACCGTGCTGTGAAACTCGTAGATCCCCTTCTGGTAGTCGAACTTCCCTCCCTTCGGCGGCGGGTCCGGCGCCTCCGTGCAATGCGTCGCCACGCACCTCTCTGTAATCGCCTCCCACTCCCCGTTCCTTAAGCATCTCTTGCGATACTCCTTCCCACCGTCCTTCCCTCTGCCCTTCCCAGCGCCATTTCCATCGCCCTTTCTATCGCCCTTCCCGCCGCCCTTCCCATCGGCCTTCCCATCGTCCTTCAGAGCATACCCGTCGTCGCAACGGTAGGTGACTTCCATTCCCACGTATTTGCGGCCTTCCGGCCCTTGGAACTTGGAGTGCTCGGCCGGCTTCCCCGGACCCCCGAGACATTCCGGGTAGACGCACTTCCCCGCGTCGTAGCATTTCTGCTCCACGCACCATTCCCTCAGCGGCTCCCAATTTCCGGTCCTCAGGCATTCTCGTTCCACCTTCGGGACCGGCTGGCCGTCGAGCGACATGAAGACGTGCTCCGCGGGACACGCGAACGCGATCTTGCTGCCGAATTCGTACGGCTTCGGTTCCCAGTTCGACGAGACGTTCGAGGCGGTTTCGGGTTCCCGGACGCAGTGAGTCGGGACGCAGGCCTCGGTCACCTCCTCCCACTTCCCGGTCTTCAGGCAGGTCTTGTTCACGAAGCGCGCTTTGGTGTCCCAGGCGAAACCGAGTTCGCAGACGTAGCTCACCGTGTCCCCGACGTCGGTCTCGTTCGCGTCGCGGTCGCGTCGGGCGTTCGGGATCTCCGGCGGTCCGCGGTGACAGGACCCAAAGTCGCAGGAGCCGTCTGGATGGCACCTGCCTTTCACGCACGGCTCCGTCACGGGCTCCCAGTCCCCGGTGGGAAGGCAGGTCTTGTTCACGCCCGGCGCGAGCGTCTCGTTCGGGAGCAGAAAGACACGGTCGACGGGGCAGGAATGTAGCACGCTCTCCCCGAATTTGTAGAGTCGGTCGTCCCAGCGGACATCACCGCCGGGAACGACAGAAGGCCGTCGAACGCAGTGAGTCGCGACGCAGGGCTCACCCGGCTCCGACCACGTCCCGTTCTCGCGACACGTGACATTATACTCCAACGCCCCCCCGCGGAACGAGAATCCCTTGTCGCACCTCGCCGCCATCACCTCCCCGATCCCCCTCCCTCCTCCCCCCCTCCGAACTGCACTGGACATCGGGTCCTCCTCGGGACACTCGTAGAAGACGCATGGCGTGGACACCGCCGTCCACTCCCCGGTTCCCAGGCATTCGCTCGTCTTCCAGCGTTCCGTCGAGTTCTGGAACTGCGACCCGTTGTGGCACCTGAAAATCCCCAGGCCATAACAAGTCCTTTAAAACATCCTAAATTTCATTTATTTATTTAATTTTATTTATTTATCGCTAACCACTTCAGAGTAACCTCCCGGTTAAAATCTCCCACCTGTAAGTGACGTTCGCCCCCACCTCCATGGATCTCCTCCCTCCCTCCCACTCCACCCTCGCGTTCGGGACGTCCGGCGGCTCCGGACACCGGAACCGACACGTCCACTCGCCCCCGGTGTCGTTCCACTTCCCCCCCGTGCACCTGACGACCTTCTCCCGTTCGCCCGAGGGGAACCGGTACGGCGGCGGGCACCCGTACTTCACCGTCCCCGCGTCTTCTTCCGGGCATTTCATCTCCACTGCCTCCGGGGGGATCGGCGGGTCTCCGCTCTTGCAGGCTGTACATACAGTACATATTTTTTAATTTGTATTTATTTATTTACATATTTACTTTTATTTACATTCTTTTTTTTGCATACTTATTCTAATTTTTAAATAATATTCATATTTATTTATTTGTTTATTTATTACCCAAATTTACCAGCACTGCTATTCGTGCTATTTTTAAAGGATGGACCCGTTCAGATTAGTTCTACATAAAACTCGATTCGGGAAGTTACTGCCACTGATTTTTGCGCTTTGGGCATACTTTGGTCCGTTTGCGTGCTCAAAATTTCGCGATCTCTCCCTGCTATATTCAGATTTCTGCGCGAATTTTAGTTCATCTTAAATTTTCGCGATCGTGCAAAAAAATCCCTCGGCACCAAAACCGACCTCGGACGCAGGACGTGACCCGACGAGAGTCGAACCCCAGGCCCCCGTAGCATCTCACGTCCACGACCCGACCGGCCGCTGTGTCGTTCGCGTCCCGCGACGACCACTGGTAGCCGCAGGGGCACTCGTAGCGTGCGGCGACTCCGAAGGGGATCGTGCCGGCCGAGGGGCTCGCCTTCGCCTTGTAAGGGACGGGCGGCAGGCCCTTGCAGTCTGGGGAGTCAAAAATTAAATATAAAAAAATAAAAAATTGGAATGTCGTTAGGATGTCGGGCGGGGAAGGCGGCTGACCTCGAGGAGGCTGCTCCTCGCAGATGAACGACTCGGAGGCGATGTCCCTGCAGTCTCCCTCGGAGATCTGCTCGGACCCGCTGTCGAGTCTTCCGCAGCGCGCTTCGCCTTTCTTGCTCCTGCAACAGAATTTTAAATATGTAAAACCCCAAAATTTTCCTGGAAAAAGAGCAAAATCGTTGTTTTATGGAGAAAGTAAAAATACAGGTCTCTTAAAACAGGGAGTGTGAATTGTGATTGAATGTGCATTGGGAGCATTTCCTGAGGCGTTGAGGGCAATCCCAGTGAGGACAATCTTTCTGAGGTCATCAACGTCATTACTTCCTTGGACTCACCCTGACGTCAGTTGTGAATTTCTCGAAGTTTATTTGCGCGACGGGCAGAAAACGATTGCTTCTTGGTGGGTAGCAGCAAGAATTGCAAATTGACGGGAAAGAGGATGATTACATCTTTGGGGGGCGTTGGGGGGGGGGGGCGATGCCGGAATTTCTCCTTAAACTTGGAAAATGCAAATCGAAGACATCATGAAGGTGTTTCCCGACCAAAACGATCCGAGCCGCTCTGATTGAATTTGATTTCATCTTCATCCCGGAGGTTCGCATCACAGGACACCGACCTCATGACACAGCCGACATGCAACGAATCCCACCACGAAAGGGATGAACCAAACCAAGAAAGCGGCAATCCGAGGAATCAACACGAGTGTGGAAGCAGCATAGGGAGGGAATGACGCTAGCATACGACTTCCACTCCAATTCCTCTTAGGAGATTTCCACAGAAGGCTAAAAATGATTCCAGCTCAGTTTACTGCGAACACACTTAACTAAATCTCACTTATAATTAATTGACGAATCCTACTCTTCCTATTCCCTATTTGCTCTTTTCTCAATCGATTCCATGCTTCCCATATCGTTGTGCCTTAGTCTTAACCTCGATTTCCATCTCTTACATTTGGT